AACACGAATCTGGAATAGAGCAGAGGGTCTTAATGGCTGCCCGACAAAAATAGCTCTCACAATCCCGGAGAAACATCATCACAAGGGATTAGAATGGCCCACTTGTAACGTGTTTCTCCTCTATGTATTTCAGTCTACATTCAATTTCAAGACTGGTCAACTTCTAATTTGGGTTCGAGAATGTACGTGTTTCCTATCAAAAAGCAATGCGAATTGAAAATATCCCTTGCAGGATCAAATTATCTTCATCATCCAACCTTTCGGCAAGTAACAAGTTCAAAATTTGGATCAGTTTGTCCTTTAATCTCCCAAGATGCACTCATGTATTATGAAACATCAGACATATTTCTTCAGAACATTTGAGTTGAACTCCTAATTTTTTTGCTTCATTGGCATTCAGTTTTGAAGCTTACACTTGATTTGTGAGTGTCACTTATGTAACCTTTTACCAATTATGATGTCTGAAAAAGGTGATTAAATATAAGCATTAAAATGACAAATGAAATTACTTCATTGAATTGAATTAAAACGACAAATGATTCACTTCCAGTGTCATAAGGTCCATGTAAAATATGTATTTGATGTATTTTCTTGTCGATGGCCTTAGGAATGAAACTTGAGATAATGTGAATTCTAAATTGGAGACTGATTTAATTGTATGGTGGAATAGTGTAGTAAGTAATAGAGGAATGTCTCCACTGAGCAGGTTTATTCTTACGTCGGTCACTCTGACTTTTTGCTTCCGCTGACCTTTACTGATGACGTAAAGGTGCCTTTGAAATTCCATGTCAGAGTGTTACCTCCGATCTTCCCTTTCATGATTTTAACTTTTGTGGCTTGTGTTGATTTGCAGTGGGAGTAACATCCCGCATCCGCTTTCAGGATAAATAAGTCAATAGAGCACTATTCTGTTAATTCTCTTCTTGTCAGTCTTTTGACAGACTTGTGACAGTAACGTTGCCTTGTTAGCCGTTTTTGTGGGACTTTCCATCACTCACATCATCACAAATGTTTTCCAGATGGTGAGTTTTTTAGCAGCCTACAATATTGCGTAACCTAATTAGATGGTAAGTCCAAGGTAGGCAGGAATGTGTTGTTTTTATTGTATGGCTTAACAGTGTCTTGAGGCATGGGTGGAGAATGGTGGGAAGGGCCGATGAATAGCATGACTGATGATCATATTGAAGTGGATTTAGTGAGGTTCCTTGTTTTCTCTGTTCCTCATCTAGTTTGTATTCATTATTACGTAAATGGTGAGTCAAGCATTAGCACTATTATATTCTAGTCAATTCTAACCAGCTTAACTGCTCATTATCACGTTGCCATTTCTCAATGAGGTCAAGACACTATATGCAGTTTTTGGACAATTATTCCCTTTAAAAAAATAAAATTAAATAGAATGGATCCATTCCAGGGAGAATTCATTCACTGGTGTATTTTTGAACCTGCATAAAGTAGAATCCAATATGAATGGCAGTAGGGAATTTATTTTCTGTTCAACTCCGTGACCAGCAAACTCCTGTGGACTTAACAGCACATGACAGCACTGTCCGCTTCAGTCCGGATGATAGCGAGTCTGTATCCTGATGGTGCAGGTTTTTAGTAAAGCATGCATGCAAATCAGCTTATAGAGAAAGCCAATGTTGGATAACGGTTGTGGCTGTTAGGTTAAATCTCGTTCCTGAATAGTGCAGCTGTCACATTCACCAACATTGTGCCTCTGTGAAAAAAAAAAATGGCCAAGCCATTTATGAATAATTTTTGGTATGCCAGTACTAGTTTCCGCTTGCTACTAACTTGCCTGTTTGCTGTAAATGTCCAGTATTATTTTCGAGAAGTTTCTCTGATGTAATGATTATGTTCCCAGCAGGTAGAGAGCATGTCATGCAAATGAAATGACTTGGCAGATAACAAGCAGTGCATGGCATCTGCGTTTCTGCCTGTGGCTTTCTGTAAAAACACCTGATGAGTTCCTGAGGTAGTTTTGTTTGTGCACGCTGTTATTAAAATCCCAGTACTGTCATGTGCGCTGGATATTATGCATAGGCTAAAGCTAAGGTCTGTAACTGTGTGTATGGTGTGCATGGATGAGCATTAGGGCAAATGTGACCTTCTCTGGATTAAATGTGAAATCATTGCAACAGAGCTTGCTTGATGACATTGAGTTCACTGCTTTTGGCTTCAGCAGGCGAACTGGTGTCATTCAATTGCCCCGCATGATCATACGATATGCTTGGTTACATAACACACGGGTACATACACTCATTCTTGTGGTAGGTGGTGGCTTTATTCCATTCGGTGGCACACAAAGCTGAATGAAGCACAATGCGACATGTGAATGAGCATTACTAGTTTGGCACAGATTAAAACCACATCCATAGCTGAAACTATTAAATAAATATCCTGTTCTAAAAATTTACAATGATGTTGTGATTGGATGATGTACTTGTATACGTAAAACAGCCAATGACATAAAATAATTGAATTTGTATTGAATGTATATTTCTGTTCCTGTCTTTTTTATTTATGAGAGGTGGCACGCGTAGATTCAGTGCCGTTTTACAGCTTTTCATCTGTATAAACATCTTGAGAAATTCATACCTGCCTGCATCCTTTCCTGTTGACAACATTAATGGATGGAAGGAGTGAAAACTGACATTCGGTTGTGTGAGACGCATTGATATGGTTTAACGGTTCACGAGGCTGACTTCCAAGCAGGCAGTGTGGGTTCAATTCCCACGTGCTGATGGTGTTACCATCATAGTATTAATGTGAAAGGTTATCTCTTTCTATGTGCCCTGTGATTGACTGGCAACCAGTGCAGAGTGTACTGTTTTCTGCCTTTTGCCCGAGGTTTTTTTTCTTCTTTTTGAAACATAGTGAGTTAAGTATTTTTTAAAATGTACTGCACAGTTTGATGTTGGTCCCAAGTCGAATTGCTCAGGGGTAAGCAGAAGTATTTGTGCCATTGTAGTTCCCTTCCGTCCAGAAAATGCACTCATGACCCCCCCGTGTGCTCCACAGGGTGAAATATTTGGCCTTGGTTCAGAAGGTGAGCGGGGCGTGGCCGTCGCCGAAGACAGCAACGACATCTATATCCTGTCGGGGGAGCAGGCGCCCGAGCAGCTGAGCCCACCGTCGTCTCTGCTGTGCACGGCTGACAATAGCAGCGGGCACAGCTCCTGGCAGACTGAGAGCTTACCCGTGTCGTTGGCCGGCCACGAGTCGTGGGCACAGGTGTGTGCGATGGACCCCGAAGATATCAAGAGCCTGGACAGCAACGAGGGTATAGCCCTGGCCGAGGAGCGCAGCGAAAACAACTCTTCCAACTCGGACATTGTCCACGTGGAACGCGAGGAGGCCGAGCTGCTGGAGGAAGGCGGCGAAAGCGGTGCGATTGAGGAAAGCATGATGAGTGTTTTGGGTACAGAGAGTGAGCTTGCCCAGCTCAGGGAGGAAAGTAGCAGCCGGATTCCTGTTGCTCCCGTGACCCTGGAGGAACCTGCCTCCCTGATTTCACTGGAGGAGCCTGTTGTCATAGAAACACCTTTAAGTTTGTCAACAGAACCTTCCCTTATCTCTTTAGAACCGGAGCTTCTTCCAGCCCCAGTAGCTGCTGCTCCACCCCCAAGTGAACCGCAACCTGTGACGCCCTTACCTGTTCCTGTAGTAGAACCAGCATCGGAACCGGAAAGGGCCGCTGCTCCTGTGCCCGCCGAAGCCGCGCCCTCATCTCCGGCTAAGTGGGCCCAGACTGCAGAGCCTGAAGCCGCGTCTGAACCACAATTGGAGCCTGTAACTGTGCCTCCCCAGCACGAAGCAGAGGCCCTGAGCGAGCTCAATGTACCACCAGCTGAAACCCCAGTCCCAGAGGCTCCCGTGCCGGCAGATCCAGCATCAGAGCTTCAATTTCTGCTCTACAGCGGAGCTGCCCTGATGCTCCTCACTGCTGTGATGGCGTATGGTGTCATGAGCTATAGGAGGAAGTAGAATAGACGTGTTTTCTTCTCAGGGGATTAGATCACACACGAAAATATGTTGCGGTAGAAATGATTTAGTACACTGAAGATGCATTTGTCATCCAAGGCCACATTTAAAACCCATCGTCCATTTGAGGACAAAGCTTCCAACCCTCTCAGCAGGTGCAAGCACAGAAAAGGGAAATAAATGTGTACTCCACTCCCTTGATGTTCAAACCAAATAGTCATGTTTTATTTTTCTTATTCATTGTGTGTGCCATGTGATTATCCTGACAGTGTTTAAATTGTCCACAGCTGTCACTCCTATGTACTACTTTTAAATTAGTAAGGATGCTTCAAGTCGTACTAGTAAGATTCTTCAGTCAGTGGCTACAGTGGTCATTGAGAAAGCTGCAGCGCACATGAAAATATTACAGTATTTTTTTTTAAGTATAAATAAATGGGTGACAGTTAATTTAGCAGACACATTTGCTGCAGTGTAAACAAACTTGCCACATGAGAATCCACATCGATGTGCTGTTTTCCCAACTGCTGTCATATTTTTTTTATTTGGGATGAAATCGGAATAATGGTATCACTGTGATGTAAAGTGCAGAAATATTCCTTGTCGGGTGAGCTTTGGGTGGTCCGCGTGTAATTAGAAGCTTCCAAGTTTGCAATCAAAGCGGAAATGTCGAACATAAAAATCAAGAGAATGTCCAAAATAGCTCCCATCAAACTTTGTACCTTGAATTTCCTACAGCACACTACTTGAAAATAAAGAAAGTGACAATGGTTTTGTGGCGATATGATTCCATATAAATCACCACCATTTATTTCAACATTTTTACAAAACAGAGGTAACTCAAGGCGTACAGTACAATATTTTTTCCTCTTGACACAAACATCAGCTTTTAACAAAAACATTAGAACAGCACATGTGACAAACGACACAAACTTAAACTACGTATTCCTGCTTTTAAAATAAGACTAACGTTCAAAAAAGATACACTAACACTTGAAACGTGGCTTAACGTCCGATTTTTTGTTTTCCTGCAAACATTTGACAGTTATTCCCTCTCATCCCGCCCACTTCAAGTCATCTTGCCCTTGTTGGGCTGATGTACTGCAGCGCAGTGTTGAAGAGATCTCTGAGGAGTTGTGGGGTGTGTTCACACACCTGCTTCACCAGGGTGAGGCTGAGGGCCATGATGACCCTCTCCCGGGGCAGCTGATCCAAGCCCACCCCCTGCATCATGGCCCTGTGCACCTCGCTTTTGAGGAGCTCCAGCCACTGCTGCAAAACCAAACAATCGGTCAGCAAAGGACACTTTTTGGGACATGACCATCTTCATCGATACGTTTGTTGGAGCTGAGTCAATTCTTGGGTGGGTACACTTACACTACTGAAATTTCTCAACAATAGAGAGCTGCATAAATAAAATATTCTCTATAAGCGTTGCCATTTCAAGGTTCATTCACCACTTTAAGCATCCATCCATCCATCATCTGAACCGCTCTTCTCACGAGGGTCAATTTAAGTGCTTTTACGGTAATTTTCCAAATGTTTCCTGGTGTCACCACAGGGCAGCAATGATGATAAAAAGGGCGATGACATTTGGCCGTTAAGTACCATTTATCAATTACACACACTTATTTTACCGAGCAGATTATAACATAGCCTAATTACACTACACAACACATTAATATTAGTGGTCACATAGTAATGTGTTTTAATGAAAATGTAGGTAATAAAGTCATAAAATGAACATTCAAACAGCTTTGGAAACTGGACTGAGGTCAATGGTACTGCAAAGTAACAATAATAAAACTACTATCGCCCACTTTCAAAACTAGGCAATACAAGTGAACACAGATGTGCTGTTTGCTTGTACAATTGGATTTTTCTCAAAAATGAAAGTATATATATTCCATACATTAAGGTTACTGTTCTAAGGTGAGTTTGGAATGATACAGTGTTTCTGCATCACAATTTCCAATTGTAAACATTTAGGGCAGGGCATTTTTTGTTTTGTTTGTTTTTTTCACAATACATGACGGGGCTCAGTGCCCATTCCCTACAAATGGGGGCGAGGGTTATTGTATTATCTTTGCAGAAGCTGAATGTATGATCCATCTCTTATGTTGGACCTCCGTGGATTGTGTAGTGTATCGAGTGTTGCGTCTATGAGGTGAGTGTCTTGAGAGCAAACTCACTTCACTGGGTGAAGACATCACATTGTTGTGCAGGTTTCGGGCAGACTGGTCCACAACATTCTGCTCAAGTTGGGCAGCAATTTCTCTCAGCTGAGCTGCAACCACCTGCAGGGCTCTTGCTTCACCTACACCACCTACAGGAAGTCACAAATATGTGCCAAGACAACATGATAAGGCGATTCAGTTCCTGTGTGGAATTTGCACGCAACCCAAAAACATACGTTGGTTAATAGAAAACTGAATTGTCCACAGGTGTGAACGCAAATGGTATTTTATCCGTACATCCACGGTGACTGACTTGTGACCGGTTATGGACAGTTTTTCTTTAAAAAAAAAAGAAGATTTTGACTTTCGTAGTCTTCATTTGTCCTATTCAACTTGTTGCACTTAACTCTCTAGCAGCCCCCCACCCCACACACACCACCCACCAAAGATTCAAATGTTAGGCACAGTACAGTGAAGCCCTCCATATTTGTCAATTTTGAGATTTTTGCTGTTTTTAAGTTCAAGCCAAAGCTTGCTTTAACACCATTTGGTGGCGTCTTGGTGCCAAGCAGCCACGTTGAACTGAAGGAGGAGCGTTATTTATTCAGGCCATAGCCATGTCTCATACCCAAAAAGTTCATTTCTGTGATCGCGTCAGTCAGTTACTTTAGCTATTCACAGCAAGGCTTCGTCCCTTTCCTCTTCCAGTAGCAGGGAACACCTTGTTAATAAATATAATAATGTAACACGTTTTCAATATGTAAAAACAGATTAAACAAGAACAGAACACATTCATAGATTAAATATCAATCAGCAAAACGTATCAGGTGCTTTACCCCAAATGATACGTTATCATGTCACAAAACACTACTTTTTACAGCATTTACGTCAGCTGTAGGAAGTCTTTTTCAATGTTTTTTAAAGCCAGGTTGATCCGTCACTCCTGTGGCTTTATTATTTTTTTAAACAATACAGTATCCACACTTCTTGGGAACAGAACATGAGTACTTGTGCCAACGCCGCGTGTACTTACCAGGCCAGTAAAGCTCCACTAACGGCTCTATGTCGGCGATGGAGCCCTCGATGGTGCCGGGCAGGTTGCAGTCACATTCGATAACCCCATCATTGTCTTCGCAACTGTTCCTCCAAGTTTCTGTTAGCTCTTTACCCAAAGAGTAAACAGCCTTGTTGTACTGCACGTTACTGCAGTCCGCCTGGAGGAAGCTCAACACCACCAAAGTGGCGTTTTGTTCGCTGGCCAACTTCGTCAGATCATCCATCACTTCACTGAGACGGATTTACGGGCGCGTTCAAATTCACTGTGGCGGGATTCTAGAGATCTTTCAACAGGAAGTGAAGCAACTGTAACAAATATTTGTCGACAAGTACATTAACTTAGTTTTAACCATCGGCCTTCCTCAAAAGATGAGCTACGGTGGCTCTAATGTCACCACAAGCTAGTCGTTAGTTTTAGTAGCTCGCCTAACCCACAAAGATAAGCAACAGGACTGAGTAGTCGAATGCTTGCGGATTAGCCGTTTCTGAATCAAACTTTTTTTAAATGAAATCATTTAGCCACTGGAAACCCCCCCAATTACTTACATCAACGCGCCAGTTAACTTGAAAACACTCCCTGTTTATTTCACACACCACAGCAGCTTCTTCTGGGCCACAGTTTCCGACTCCCGCAACAGAATTTATTGTGGGGCGGATCTTAAGATTGTGACACACTTGCTGCTGTTGCATATTCAAATTGTCTGGTCACAAGAGGTTAAAAAAAAGCTTTCGTTTTAAAGCTGGCATAGCCCTCAAAAACTTCACACAACAGAGTAGTTGCCGCGCTGCCCCCCCCCCCCCAAAGAAAATCACATGGAATAAAGTCGCCGTTAATTTTTGTATGTGCGCTTAACTCATTCAGTACCAGCCAATTCTAAACCAAGTCTGAAATACATAAAAACGTCTTTGGGAGTGAATGAGTTTTAATCAAAACTGGATAGCAGATTGCTTAATAAAATGGACATGAAATATTTTAAACCGGAAGGAAAGCCTAACCACAGTATTACTGTTGCCTTGTTGGCGTTTTCAACTTAAGCCAGTGTGGTGACAGAACAATCACACGAACAACTCTATGGAAATTCCCCTCGGTATCTTTGACTCGCTTTAATGTACTGCTTATTCCTATTCCAAATTATGACACACATTTGTCTCAATACAGAAAATGAAACAGAAATGAATCAAGGCAAAAAAAAAAAAAAAGGATAAAACCCTTAAAATTTTTATTCACAGTTTAAAAACAAAAATAGCAAGGAACTCTGGCATAGTGCTTGCCACTGACTGCAATCATTTACAGAACCAGCAAAACGGTTGTATGCACACAACGGGATGAGCTTGTGGATCAGGCTTCCTCCCATCACACTTCATACCCTGGACAACCAAAGCTCATGGACCGTGCAGTCTTTCTACCCACAACCCTCCTCCCAGACCTTGGCAGTGACCCTGTCTTTCCAGGAAATTTCAAGCCAGGCAGTGGGCTCTTCGGGGACAGAGCAGCCTGGCGTGCCTCTTGGAGCTCCCTGTGCAAAAACAACAACAAGACTGTTCTTTAACACCTTTTACAGTGGTGGCACAAAAGGGTCAGCAAGGCCTTCTCTGTTCGCACAAACACCATCAGAAGCACTGACCTTTGTACATGTACAAGCCAAATTTTTAAAATTGTTCCATGGAATTGTATTAAATATTTTCCATTCCTTCCATTTCATAGCATTTCTCTTGGCTGCACTGTAGGGATGTGTGCAGAGACCTTTGGAGTGCAGGTGCTCAAAGAGGATCGATTAAAAAAAAAAAAAAAAAAAAAAAAAGTATCTGCTAATTTGTGGCCATTCAATTCAAATGTATACAGTTGCTCCCTACTGAAAAGTTGAGTAAGCAAAAACGAGAGTTCCTTTTATGGAAATAGTAAGCTTGTGTCAAGGCTGGCTAGCACTAAAGAAAATGGATGACAATATCGGTGTCAGATTGAATTGCAGTCATTGCAGTTTTCAGCAAAGGTGCACACCATTTGCTTCCCCAGATTTCAGTTGAGAACTCAACCCGCAAATTAGTATTTTGTGATTAAAATTAAATTAGTATTTTCTTACAGAGCCTGCTTGCTGGCCCCCAACAACGTCAGAATTTTCCCCATCATCTGATTGCTTGGTCAGAATAAGCCAAGTTTGACTTGCAAAACACAGCAATCTGCTTACATTAAGTCATAAAAAGTCTGTCTCTGATGAGTATGATGTATTTTATTCAAATGGTTTTGTCTTATTAGGTATGCATTAATTCTGAACTGTTCCAAAAATACAAGGAACAGTTTTATGCCTTATTGATGGTTTTAAGAGGTGATTAAGCCATGTAACACAGCGATTGTAAGGGTTCCCACAGAGAACACATCATGCTGAGTCCATAAACAACAAGCTCAGCTCAGATTCAGGCAAGCTGACGTCACAGCTAGCTATATGTTTTGGTTTGTTTCATTTGGGTCATTCCATTAAAGATTAACCTGACATGATTTTAATGTTTAAATGTGATAGTAGTTTAAATAATGCGGACGCTTACAAGGCTTTCAATGGTGACATCCGTGAAAGAATACCTACCTCCAGGTTGACAATATAAAAAAAGCAATCGAAATAATGCGTACTGCTTCACTACTGTATAACTTCTAGGCAAAAGTCATGCATGATAAAAGTGACACCTATTGGTCATATTAAATAGTGCACTTCAACAATCTGACCTCACATGATTACCGAGTTGATGATTTACCAAACCCTTCAGCCCAGGAACCCAATGTACATAAAAATTTCACGCACAGCCCCAAACAAACGTTTCACAAAAAGTATGACTATTGAAATAAAGCTGTCACTTGAAATGTATATGGAAATAGACAATAAATAAATAAAATATGGGGATTCATTTCTAAGTCGAAAATTGGACCTGCAGTGTAAATGAAACTTAATGGTAATTTATGTTTCTTTCTTACTTTTCAAGCATGGCTGTCCTGAACTTTTCTACGTTTAGCTCTCGGCGTAGCTGAGCCGCCAGTCTTCCAGTCCTCTCCTGCCTTAAGACGCTGTGCTTGCAAAGCTCTCTGGCTGAGGGCCGTTTGGTGGGGTCTGGATCCAACAACAACTAAAAGAAAGATGCAAACAAAACTGTCACGTCTTGTCTGAGCAATCCAGCTATTTTCAGAATCAGAATCATTTTTATTAGCCAAGTATGTAGAACACACAAGGAATTTGTCTCTGGTAGTACAGGCTACCCTGCACTTTCCATGACAATCCCAAGCAAGCTTGACAGAGCAAGGGATACCTGAAGCAGCCCTCTGAAGGGAGCAGAGAGCTCCCTTGGAAGCATGGGAAGGTTGCCCTCTCTGAGCCGATGCCACTCATCTCCATTTTGGGGCATTGGTGGGGCCCCCGCTGCCAGCAGCACGGTAAGGCCCAAAGCAAAGATGTCTGCCATGGGAAGATGGGTGTAGTCCTGGTACATGAATGAGAGCTATCCATGAAAAACACAAACACTCTACAACGCGGCTTCACTTTGTTTTTGTGGCCTACATTTTACCTCATGAAGAACCTCCTTGGCTAAAAAGCGGCTGTCCCCTTCCTCAACTTGAGGATTATTGGTTGATGTCACATGCCCCAGATCTCCTGTAGGGGGAAACAAGGATGTAAAACATATTTAAGCCACACTTAGCCTAACAGTTTCAGAAATGTTACTTCTTGGTACATGTAGTTCTTGGAACTAATAAGTTCCAAAGAGACTCCAACCCCAAAGGTTGCTGGACCTCTTCAAAGTAAAACTGCCCTTCCTAAGTGTTCTTCTGGCCCTGATAAATTATATTAATAATAATTTAGACATAGTTCCTGTGGTACAAACACTCATTGGACCGACAACAATTCTTAATTCCTGTGGTGGAAACACACCATTTAGTCATTTATCCATCATCATTCATACCAATTTTGTACACAACCCCTGCTGGGTGACTTCCTTCGTCCTCCTCTTCCTCACTCTCGCCCACACCTGCCGTGCTCGAGACAGTACGTTGACAGATAAATATATTACCTGAAGATACAAAAGGAAATTTAGAGTAAAACTGTTCAGTGCAAGTGCATTCGTTTGGATCAGTACCAAAGTCAGTTTTGTGAGGCGAAATTTATGCCTCGCGAAAGGCAAAAGAAAAAGCAGACTTACTTGGTTTGATATCCAAGTGCACAAGTCCTAAACTGTGGATGTACTTCAGACCCATGGACACTTGCAAAAGCAAATCTTTCAACTCGGCTCTAGAAAATATCTCCCCTTGCATCTCCTTTGTCCTGATGACATCACTGAGACTTCCACCTAGCTCACGCACATGCGGTGACGTTCGCAAAATCACAAATGCAGATATTAAATTTAAAATCAAGGGGGGAAAAAAAACTAAACAACAACTTACCATTACAGTATTCATTCTGAATAATCATGTGGTCTTCCTCGGCCCAGGCAGAATAATAGCGGACCACATGGGGATGGTGGCCAAGAACTGCATGTGCATACACTTCCTTCAGAGCCAGCTGCCTAAAAGGATATTCACTTTTATGCATTTTACTGCTCATTCAATATGTACTGTCATCCCAGCAAATGTAACAAGAGTAGACCCTCGCCAAAGCTTAAACATCCGCGAACCATTTGAGTGAACGCTACAATGTACAGTACAGCATATTGTAGAGGTTAAGTCTAATCCAGATGCATAGAAATAAAACTGACACGATACTGTGAGAGTGCTCAATCTAATCTTTCATGTTTCATTTAATCTGCTGACAAATGTGCATCAGGATGTTGTGTTAAGGAGGTCTCACTGTGACATACAGTGCAACAGACATGATCGGAATGACAGTAATCACTGTCACTCCCCTAGTGGCACCACCCAATATTTAACATAAAGTAAGCGGAAAAAGGAGGTGTCTATTAACAGTGAGAGGTAGTCGATTATTTGGGGCACAGTGCCAAGAGAAAAAGTCATCATTTAAGGAAATCAAATGTATCGTGAATTCAGGAGCCAAGTAAAAGCTTGGCAGTGTCGTACTGCCAACTCACTCGTTCGCAGAGCCTGCGAGGGGCCGTCGGGACCGTTTGATGGCATACAGGCAACCATCCAGCCTCTTCACACACTTGTAAACGGTTCCAAACTCGCCCACGCCAATACGCTCCAGCTCCAGGAACTCACTCTCGTAGCGCGACAACATGAGGGCTTGGACAGCTTGCCTCTGCACACACAGGCACGCACGCAGAGGGCCAAAGCATCTCTAAATACAGAACTTGCGTCACAATGCTGAATCTGCAGTTTGGTAGTAACCAGGAGGGGACTTGTCATTTGTGCCACCATATATAGTGCTCCATCCTGTGCGCGCATTCTGACAGCTTTGGTTCCGTCAGAGATTGTCAAGGAATCCCGGAAGATGAATTGGCATTCTTGTCAGTTTGAAAAAGCAAAAGAATGGAGGAGGCAGCCAAGGATGACGCAGCTTCTGTTAGGGAGGTGCGGTCAGTGATAAAAATAGTTGTACCTTTGGCGGAAGGAAGGCTTCGTCATCCTCTTCTGATGATGTCAGGCTGTGTTTCAACCTGAAAGACAAAACGGAACAATTCTATGGTCATTTAGGATTAAGCCAAAAGCACTTAACTAATTTTCATGCATGAAGCCCTCCACCAAAGCTAAAATGAAGGAACGTCTCAAGTCAAACGCTCCAAAGGTGGTAGAATTTCAAATTCCATTTTCTTTGTTTGTTTAGGGGGCGGGGCTCTAAAGTGGCACAAACCTGAGTTCACATCACTGCCATGTGTACTATGCGATCTTATTTTAGCCAGCATCAAAGGATCATCTTTGCCTTTCCTATTTTTTTTTTTTTTGGACAACACACCTAATTGAAGGGTCCGTTTCAACAAGGGATTTGAAGAGATGAATTGACTGTTGAATAATAATATTGCTTTGCAACTAATTATTATTTTTATAATTGATTTATCTGTTGACTAATCGGTTTTAAAAAAATCCCATTTTAATTTCTCTGCCTTTATTCAAAAACATGGAATAATTCAAATTAACAATTATGATTCCATTACTAGTTTGGTCCGTAACATAAATAGGCAAAAATGTTGATCATTGTTTTCCAAAGTACAAGCAAATGTTTTATTCTAAAGATACCGGTAATCAGGCCTGTTCCGTCCGTGCAGGACTCCTGAAATTGGATAACATTTACTGCTGAGAAGCCGAACTGCATTTGGACAATTTAAAAAAAAATAATAATAAAAAAAAAAAATAATAAAATAAAATAAAAAAAGGGGCATTCAAACTATTCATTGATGGTCAACACTTGAATAATTTGCTTGTCAATAAGTTGTCAATTCATCGATTAACTGTTGCAGCTCTAAATAAAGCCTACGCCAGCTGATTTACGGGCAAGATTCAGGCTTTAGCCTAGACTGGTTTCGAGCCAATTGCAGCATGTGACAATGAGGACCGACATATTTAGTTGCATGAGGAATATTTGCAATAAAAACTACTCACGCAACATCCATTTGTCATTTGTAAATTTAAGCTGTTTATTGTTTTTACATCTTTATTGAATAGATAGTGGTTAATTTATTCTGACAATAGTATGATCATTATGAACGCTAAGATTCCTGGGATAGTTAGTAAAGGTTGATGGCAACAGATGAAAATGATTACAATTTTTTTTTTTTTAATTCTAAATTTCAACACCTTGGTCTGGTGTCCCACAACGGATTGTGTTCAACCAGAGAGGTTGCAAAACACCATTTTCGCTGAGGGAGTAACCTGGCACATGTCATATCATGTGACACAGAGGCAAAAAGTGAGTGATTAAGAAGGTTGCCTATGACTGATGGTCCACAGGTTTGATTCAACAGGTACAGTCAGGTCCATAAATATTGGAACAGCCACACCATTCCTCTTTTTGGCTCTAAACACCACCAAAATAGATTTAAAATGAAACGAACGTCACTATGCCTTATCTCCAGACTTTCAACTTCAAATTGTTGCTATTTACATCCCAAAAAGTTGAACAGTGTAGAAATTGCAGCAGTTTGGATTTATGTCTCTTACTTTGAGGGACCCAAAGTAACATGACAAATTATTTTAACCGTCAGGTAGTGGATTACCTGTGCCCATAATCCGCATCAGTATCACTCCTGCGGCTGCTTTTCCACTGCTGCTGCTCACTGAACCTGCGCTCCGAATTGGGGGTGAAAGGGTTCACATTGACTGAAGGTGCCTGGATGAGGCTTGCAACAGCCGAAGTGAAGCGCAGGGTCCTTGGCTGTCGATTTATTTTAGTGGTGGAAAAAGGCTGCGACGACTTGGACAACAGACTCTAAAGGAGGTGGGGTAACAGAAAAGGGTTGACTTTACAGGTTTATTTTGAGTACCAAAACAGGGACCAGAGTGACTCCCCCTACCTTTGGCGTGCTGGGGGAATCACAAAGCCTCAGCTTATTCCAGGAGGCAAAAGAAATGGGGCTGGTGCAGCTCAAAGGTGAAGATAATGTGTTGTTTCGACTGCGGTGGCGCTGCACCCTGGGTGTCCTGCACGCAGGGCTGCTGGGACTTTGCATCCTGGATGTGCAGTCATCAGAGTTGTTGTCGCTGCTGCAGCTGCTGCTGCTATGGCTGCCATCGTCACTGCCTTCCTTTCCACAGTTGGAGAAATCCAGCCGCTGGGAGATCTCATCGAACAAATTCGCCATTTTGTTGCCTTCATTTACAACACAGCTGTCAAACACCTAAGACCTAGGGGCAGATCCAGTTGGCCACATCATTACATCATTTTATGTGGCCAACCTCAGCAAATCATATCCGTCTACATTATGTTTCTTGCAAAAATCTGTGTCAAATTTGCAAAACGTCTTCCATTCCAATAACGTTGAAATATGGTCATAATTTTTAAGAGTAACGTTTATGATAGTTTAAACTACGGTATTTTATTTGACTTTTTTTATTTGACGATTTTAAAACTCGTCATCCATCAATTTGTTATGAAGGACTATATGTAGTCATTATACGAGGTTTTTATAGATACCTGTGTATGGTTTCACAGCCTCCTAAGAGAAATCCCACAACAAAAACTTTCACAAGAAGACACTTCATTCACTTGTTCTCTGTCAACAAACTACACAAATTATGAGAATAGTTATTTGGATGGGTATATGTTGCAAAAAACTTTCCTACAAACACAACTCGCATATCAGCATTTGAACATTACTGTTATTGGGACGCTCTGGGCTAGTTGATAGCGGAAATAGTCTAATTAGGCCGAAGGGCAAACTTTCCCTTTCCCTTCGAATCCGACAGTTAAGAAGCTGCTGCCTCATGGGTTCATAAAAAAATCGTGTTACAGTTCAACGTTGCTGTACATTTATCGCGTATACACACAAGCGACCCACCTTCCTCACCGCCGCCACCACCAAGTTTGAACCGTTCCCGCTTCATATGTAAATGACTTCCTGTTTAAATAAACGATGTCACCGGGTTAATGTTTAATTAGCCACGTCACTAGTACACTACAACTCGTGTTGGCAAATCTTATAACATTTACTTTTTTGTTTGTTTACTACAAATTATGCAGGCTACTTAACTTAAGTGTTGAACATGCTTGAATGATGCGCTACATTTTAAAATCCAATAATTACATATTTAAAGTCAAAAGTGAAACAGCGCCGAATAGGAGCGATGAAGCCGATATCCTCAAAAAGAATGCGAGCGGATTTCGGATAAAATACAAACCAAATTAGGTCACGATATGTCAAAACGAAGCCAGTAATATGGTCACGTGAGCGGAAGTAGTTGCGTCATCAAAACAGAGCGAGAGAGAAAGTGAGGAGGAGGATCTTCCGCCCCATCACCGATGTGAAAAGATCACAAATGACGAAAAACAACACTGCAAACCGGAGGAAACCATGACGCAGTTTTAGCCTTGTCGATTCTCGTGGACGTCGAATTCGTGAATATTTCCCCCCCCCGGCCTGCCAGCCCTGGACGGCAGAGGCACCATGGTGGAGCAGTCAGACAGAGCCCCGCTACTAGACTGGGAGGAGATCCCACCGTCGTCCGACCCAAACCAGGCGGCTCAGTCACCACCTGCGGTGCCCAAGGAAACGGATGCGACGTCGGGCAAAAAAACTTTGGCACCAGTCTGCCTCAAGGTGACAGACATTGGCAGGAGGAACGACAATTCCACCGTCACCTGCCGCCCGACAGCTGTTGTTGACGACCAAGAGAGAAGCCCGATCGGCTGGGAAAAGCTTCCCAGCTACACGCGGGCTCAGCCGATACCTCCCATCCCGGATCTGACAGTGAAGGATCAGTGGGAAGAGAAAGACCACATCGTGGCTGTGTTTGTGGTCACCTTCAATACGCGGTCAGGTGAGCAAGATATAGCATTCTAATTCTCAAATACAGTGGCTGTCGATCTTTCTACACCACCCCACCACCACCTTCAAAAAGATTTTGCTCTCCAAGTACCACTATAATGACACACATTACAGTAACATAGTAGGTCCAAGTGTTCATCAGGTTTTGATCTCTAAAAACTTGCATTTATTGTTTTAAGTCACTGGAAGGGACAGTCTAAAACAATGTAAAAAAGCTTAATGTTGGTTAATGGAAAAAAAAAACTATGACCAATCATTCTCAAAATTCACTGTTTAAGTGCATATTATGGAAAAATAACGCACACCGTAATTATTTTGCATCTTCCAAGGGTGAGTTGGAGTTTGTATAAAAAAAAAAAAAAGCCCAATATTTTCCCGTTAACTGAAAATATATATCAGTTTTCTGCCTTCTTGCCTGCTAATAATCGGTATCAGTCTAGCTTAACTTACTATGATGGATTGATTTTAGCATGTTTAAAAAGTACAGGTGACGAACATTAAAGTGGCCTTTTTCATCTTTTGATTTGCATGCGTCCTTCGTAAGGAAAAGTTTGGACACCCTTAATATAGGATGAAACGCACACATGGATGCATGCATCAAGTCTGGGTGAGGGAACATGGATGAGCAGTTTCAGTGGGACAATACGTCAATATGCTGATGTATTATGTTGTTTTTTTCAAACGATATGGTAACAATACCCATTCGGCATCTCTCAGTAATATAGCCATCCACTTAATAAGATGCGAGTCTCGTGAGATAGCGAGCTTGTTCTGTTTTGTTTTGTTCGGAATGTGTTGTCACTTCCCATCGTCCAGCTTTACATGGAGTCAATTTCAGTCGCTGAGTCATTGCTTTCCCGCCAGGCCTGACCTCTTCCTACTACTAGAACTGATTGAATAAGAGGAAGTGTTCATGATGAAAGTATCGCACTGGCAGTGCACATGATGACATGTGTAACTGCGTGTATGTCCTTGACAGGAAACATGGTCGAGTGGTGCCTACCACATGACATCAATCTGGATGGAGTTGAATTCAAAGCCATGGCCAGTGGTTCCCATAGGATTACCAATGACTTTATGTATGTATTACCCCCCACCCCCTCTCTTCCATTAAGCGTTATCATTGCACTCGTGTTTCCGTGCTCACTCCTGAGCCGTGTCTGACCCCCCCGGTAGATATTTCCGCAAAGGCTCTTACTTCGGGCTGGCCTGTTTCGCTAACATGCCTGTAGACAATGAGCTGGAGCGAGGAGCCAGGATGAAGTCTGTGGGAATTTTGTCTCCTTCCTACACACTGCTATACCGCTACATGCACTTCCTGGAAAACCAAGTCAGGTAAGACACAGTGTGTGTTCAATTCATTCACTTCCGAGGCAGTCACATCACCTTCGTCAAAATAAACTTGTGTCTTATTTCAAGAGAAGTCCCAGTTAAGTTGCAATGTTCATGTGTTGTTTTTGCATGATGTCTCAGCATGGAATCTGGAACTCAGTTAGTGCTTTATCGCACACACAAAACATTAAAAATCAAATCAAACATGTACCGGGACAAAACATGACTCAGTCACAGTTGAAGGGAAGTATCAATTGAGGCCAAAGTTCAGGAGCGTGTCATGAAGGGCTACAACTTATTTCTTTCTCAATAAATCAAATCAAAGAAAGAAAGAAACAAAAATTATTTACACCCCTTTATTCAAAAACAGTATGTTATTTCAAATTGACGGAGCAGAAAATTCACATAAATTCATTATGATTCATTTCCTCCTTTGGTCAATTACATGTCAGAAAAAAAGACCACAATGTTGATTATTCGTGTACAAAATAGAAGCAGATGTTTACAAGTGACTTAGTTTTGCTAAACACACAGATAATCAATCTGCTTTCATGGAGGACGACAGAAATCCGGAGGTATTTTTTGTTGAAAGACTTAAATTTCAAGGATTTGGACACAAAAGTTAAACAATGGTTCTAAACGATTCATCGATTATTGAAACAGTTGTCGATTAAACTGATAATCGATTAGTTGTCTGTTATTCTACTTCTTGTTGCACTTCTATTTTTGGCAAATTCAATGACATTATTTATAGTGTACTAGATGAGTACAAACCCAACAAACATGGTCTGGGAAACACCCTAATAAACCACCCGAAAATAATGGCAATAAAGCATTTATCAAAGACTGCATTTACATACAAGCACATGAATCCAAAAGTATTTCATCCACATATGTACAAACAATGGTTTTAATCTAACGTTGTAGGTACAGGTATTACGGTTTATGAAATATTCCTCAATTTAGGAGGGCAAACCTAATATTAAAGGGGCAAGGCACATTTGAGTGAGTTGTTTTACTGCAAAACGTGTGTGGCGCATACTATTATTCATCTTTTCCAATATTATTTCTTTACAACAGCAAGATTTGTCTGTGCAGAAATGAAATTTTGACTGAGAAAAGCTCATGCAAGAGCTGCCATTTATTTTTGTAGAGACTGTCATAAAGGTATGAATTAGCTATAATTTTTGAAAAATGTTGTTTTGAAGTGGTGAATATAAAAAAAAAAGTCTGCACACACCTATTCAAGTGCCTGTTTTTTATCATCATAACGGTTTTGTGCTAACAATGCCTGCTATTTTCATAATTCTTTCACCTTGCTGCCACCACCAGGGTTCTTTCTGTGCCTGGTGTTCTTTTAGTGATGAGCACTGTTGGCTTTGGACCCAAAATTGCTTTAGGCCAAAAAGTTCATACCTTGGTTTCAGTGAACCAGAACAAAAATCTCAGAAACATGTTTGTCATGTTACTTCCGCTCCAAGAAAACCTTCTTATTTGATGTTGTAACCCAGTGGTGTCAAACATACGGCCCGCGGGCCGGAACCGGCCCCCAAGGAGGTTCAATCCGGCCCGCGGGATCATTTAAAAGTGAAAAAAAAATGCATTAAAGACACAGAATGAATATTTTAAATAAAATGCAATTCGTGGATTATCCGCTAGGAGGGCACACTGTTTTGATCACAATAGAAGACAACATTGTTTTGATTGGGGAAGAAAACAGCAGTCTCAGTGTGTCACCGAGATAGACCCGACGCAGCAAATGATATGAAAGCGCCAATCAATGTTTCTTGAGACCAAAACAAAGGAAAGAGATGATATTTTGGTGATTCATAGCACAGTATGGTATAATGTTAATGGTTCGGCCCACTTGACATCTACCGAGTCCGTATGTGGCCCACAATGTGAAATGAGTTTGACACCCCTGTTGTAACCAAAGGGTATTTAAATCCTGGCAGGTTTGTGCTGACCCCCATTTAACCCTTTCATAAATCAGGATGTATTGTATTGTATTGTATTCATGTACCCTGTAACCCGACATGATAAGATGTCCACTGTAGTCACCGCTGTCCCTGAAGGAGTTAAAATGAGTTTGATTTTCATAGGTAAATTCAGAGCACTACATAGGGTATGATAAAACTGGCCTTGTTTCTGTGCATTCATATCAAGCTGAACAGATACTGTTGGTTTTATCGTCTTATGTGCTATCACTTGATTAGACTCCAGTTAAAGAATCCAGGCCACTATTCTCCACTGGAGGCCTTCTATGAGGACAAGAAGGCCATCCTTCCACCGACAGGAAACGGACTGGTCACTGTTTGCCCTACCTGGAGTGTGACCACCATCAACCGCTGTATGCATCCGGAAATGAAGGTATGATTGACTGCATCAAATAGTGTCACTCTCTGCTGTGTTAATTGTCAGCATCATCCTGAAACCTTTTTTGTTTTTTTGCAGATCACTCACCCAGCTGGCTGCATGTCTCAGTTTGTCCAGTTTTTTGGGGAGCAGATAATGGTGCTGTGGAAGTTTGCACTGCTTCGGAAGCGCCTCCTCATCTTCTCCCCACCACCAGTCGGCGTTGTCTGCTATCGAGGTGAGAACCTGAAACATGGAGTTATGTCTTGCTTTGGCATTGGTCAACCGGTGTCACATTGCTTATGAGCACCTGATCAGATAAGGCATGATAAATGGTGACAGGCAGGTCCTGGAATCCCCAATTTGGATGTTGCAAATATCCACGTTTTGCAAAGAAAGTGTGATACAATTGTTGTTATCTTATCTTCCTGTCTCAGTTTACTGCTGTTGCAGTCTGGCCAATGTCTCTTTGCCTGGAATTGGAATGTCTGTGCCTGAATTACGTCCTTTCTTCTACATCAACGTAGCTGACATCCCTGCACTGGAAACAGAGATGTCATATGTGGCCTGTGAGTGCACCTTGATAATAAATGCACTGAAGCATGCATGGAATCTAAGGAAATTAAATGTGTAACAAGTCTTTAAACATGTCTGTGTGTGTTTTTAGGCACAACAGAGAAGATTTTTGAAGAGAAGAAAGAGCTGCATGATCTGTACATTGACAACCAAAATGTGAAAACACACAGGAGCCATTTGCTGCCTCTGCTGCGGCTGAATGCTGCAGATAAGGAGAGGTACAGGAAACTGAGCGAACAGAGGTATGCAACACTGTGTAATATAATGCTGAAACAACACCGCATGTAAAGTGATACGGATCGTGTCAATTTTGATTCAATTATGCATTACTTGATACATTGAAATGATTAAAAATGCATTGACCATTGTCAAATCAATATTCTAGAATTTAATCTTTTCAAGTCCAAATCCTGAAATCATGAAACTGAGTAAATGACTTTTTATTGGATTTTTTTTTTTTTTTTTTTTTTTTTTTTTAATAAGGTATGGGACACATTGACAGGATTTTGATGTTTTCCACGCTGCCAGTTGGGCATGCATTATTTGGATACTTCCTACTATTAATTACAGTTGAAACTAGAAAATTAAAAAAACAAAACAAATAATTGAAAAAGCATAAAAACATAAATGCTGTTTGTTATTACCATGGATTTTTTTTTTTGGGGGGGGAATTAAATGGCTGAAGTTGAGTACACGTTTTTATTTGGTTCTTCGGCGCTTCCATTTTTGTTTTTTTTACACTTGAAAATGTTAAAAATCATGATGCATTTTTTGAGGAAGGCAGTTTGAGTTTCCTAACGTTCCTCATTAAAGTTGTGGACAGTGTTTCTCAACTGTTGTTACCCTGGTACCCACACCTACCTACTGAAAGTTACATGTATAGTAACTTACATTTTAAAGGGCATTTCAAAACATATTGCTTGCTATGACATTCGCTCGCCGAAGTCCAAGCTGCATTCATTGTATTTGTTGATAGAGTAGCTGGTGACTGGAGCGCAAGTGAGCAACATTTCTTCATAGTTAGCCAACATTGCATTTTATATGTGAGCATTTTGTACGCCTCTGTACTGCTCTGGGGAAAAAAAAAAGAATACAAATGCAAGTCATTTGTTTCTAGCTGTAAGGTACCCACTTTTGAGTTCCGACCTATGAGTTAAGATTCACTGGTTTACCGTGAGTACACAGTTTATACAGTGGTTGATTTCTTTTTATCCTTCTATGAAAGTAATGAATGATACAATGTTTCATAATACGTTGATTAATAGCAACAATTAATACATGTTTTATGGTGGCAATGTTCTGGAATGGACCGTGTTCAAGATTAGTGGTTTCATTTAAGTTATGAATTGGCAGAGGGGGGGTATCGTCTGTCCGTCACTCAGTTTCCATTAGTATTTCAGGCCAACTCACGTGGTCCCAATCTGTCCCTCTGACAGCGACAGCCAAGCGGCGTCGAGAACATAATTTCCACGTCACACCCATACGCCAAATATAGAAAAAAATTCACGTAAATAAAAACAATAGTATCACACACACACACTCAACTTGGTAATCAGTGGGGAAAAAAAACAATATGGGACACATCATTTGCTTTGGGTATACCGCACTGTTTTATTTTTTATTTATTTGGCTGGGTGTCAGATGTGCGACACCCGCATGGGACGTGATACCGGTAAGTATGTTCTCGACGCCATTTGGCTGACTCGGCAGGCCTGAAATACTGACGAAAGTTGACTGCTGGACTAACACACTGACAAATGTCCGCCTCTGTAAATTGGATCTATCCAGAGCAAGTATCAGGTTTTAACAACCAAATGAATTTTCTAGGCAAATGTTGCTGTACTCTCAAGAGGTGGATGGAGACTGTACGTCGAATGAGGAGGATCTTTTTATTGTGTGAGTACTTGATAAGTTTACTCAGAGATACAGTCCACATAAAAAGTATAAACACAACAGTATAAAATTAGAGACAAAGATGACAATTTTTTTTTCCACCATTAGTGTGATCTCTAACGTATACATCTCAATCAGGGTAGGATAAAAAAAAAACAACAACAACAACATACTACAACTGAGATCATGTGGTTGCACAAGTGTGCACCCCTCTCGCAATATCGGATGTGGCTGTGTTCAGAATGAACAAATCACATTCACTTATGTCAAATGGAAGTCAGCACACATCTGCCATGATTTAACGTGTCTTTGCTTAGCTGACTCCCATTTAACATGACTTGGAGTGTCATTGGTTAATTCTAAACACAGTGGCATCCCCATTTGTATGAGGATGTATACAAGAGTGCACCCACATTATCACAGTTGTTTATTTTTTACCTCTCCTCATGAAAGGATTTCTTTTCAATTGAGTTGTCCAGGTTGGTCTCAGTTTTTTTCTTAGATCACAAAACCTTGGCATTTGCACAGGGGTGCGTAAACTTATTAATGTGCACCAGATCAGTCATAGTCCCAGGCAGCCACAATATCTCTTTGATGGATTTTTATAACTTTGAACCTCCTTTCCTCCTCTAGGTTCTTCATGGAGCTTAATAACCGCATCTTCCAGATCATTTCAGAGGTTGCAGGTAGTGCTGATCCAACCCTGACGGCAGAGCATGTGAGGGCCATGGGGCTGGATCCCCAGGGCGATCGCTGCTTCCTGGTGGAGCTACTGGAAGTGTACGGGGTTGACGTCACTCTTGTTATAGACAACCTCTGCTGCCACTAGCCTTGGAAATACTGGATAACAGTGGTTGTTGGTGACTTGAAGACGCACACACACACAAACAAACACACACACACACACACACACACACACACACACACACACACACACACACACACACACACACACACACACGCGCGCACACACACACACACACGCCGAGACACTTCTTTCACCCTGAGCCTTCATCTGTTGCCTGCTTTTTTCCCCCCATTGTCACTGTTTTCTTATACGTGCATTGCGTCATCTGGCTGTTTAAGGAGAATGGAATCACTCCTGGCTGACGGTGCTGTGCTCTTTCATCCATCTTATTACTGTACGGTAATCTTTTTGTTTGTGCTTTTTTTTCCAACACTGGATATGCGCTCGATAATATTATGGCATGGAGGAGGGGGAGCCTCCCTGTGCACCGATCACTTAATACACTGTTAGCGCTGGAATTCAATTGGACTGTCATTCTGCTGTGATCCTTGTACATCTGTGAAGCAATACAAGTCTGCATCTTTGTCCGTGATCAGCCTCCCACAGTATAGTATTTCGCAAAAACCTTTTGGCACCTTTAACATGAGTTACATCAATGAGTTAAGTTCTCAAATGAATGTGATTCTATGACACAACGTTATGAATGCTGCATCTTTTTGCTCCATATGCCACGGACTATTTCTTGATGCACACGCTGATCTTGCATCTTACACACTCAGAAAGAAAGAAAAAACGTCATTGTACCTTAGGGTGCAATGTTTTGTTACTTGTAATCAAAGTTTCTCTTGATACTTAATATTTACTGTTTGGGAAGGTACGTGTACATTTGTGGCCATGGATAAGATACAGTTAGCTCTGATTCCAAAAGTGTGTGAATGCTGAGAGACAAGCAATTAACAGTAACTGTATTAGCAGAAGCATCCCACTGCAGTTTGGGGAAAAGCATTGGACTGCATTTTGCTCTGGTTGACAGTCGGTCAAAGGGGGAATAGGGCAGCTGCACCAAAACCAACTACTGCTATGTGAGCTGCTACAATACCAATAGTTGTGAGAGGTGAGCTTCAGGACAAAAAGAATGATGACGTGGTTAGTGAGAGAACTTACATTACTATGTTATGATGTTTTAACTAGCATTAAGACTCCTGAATGTTTTTTGGGGCATTTCCGGATCTTTCTCAGCAGTCACACTCAATAGCTGAGAGAAAATTACATCTGGATGGACAGAAATAGACTTATTTCTGACACTTAAGGGGGCGTGTGTGTTGTGGTATTGTTGGTAGGCAGCCTGTTAGCATGTTTCCTAAAACACTGCTACGGCTGTTCTTCTGCTTTTCCATGTTCTCAGAGCTTTTTGAATGAAGAGTCTTTTAAGGAGTGCCAAGGGATTCCTCCTTGCTTCTCTGTGACAAAGTTCTCTTTGTGTTGCAAAGTTAGGCAGCAGCTTCAAACCCTTATTGAAATTCACAAAATAAAAAAAATAAATAAAAAAAACTCCCCCGCTTCTCTTTTCATCTCCGTCTCATTGAGTAAATCCAAGTCTGGAGTGGGATCAAGTGTGTTTGAACACTGCTGGCACCCTGTGGAAGTAATCCATCACAGTGCCAGTCTTGATATGATATATTGATAATAATTTTGTTCCATGTTGGAACACTGAGGCTGGGGCGTAATATAGATTCACAGAGGTAGTTCTCAAATGTCTCGTATACCTCTGGCTAAACGAGAAGCTTCCTATCCAGGCGGAGAATGACTGATTTAGAAGGATGTCCAACAGCCTTAATTGTGATTTGACCCTCTGGTTGATTAAACATCAAGTGCAGTTTGTACTGTACATATTAAAAACACAAACAAACAAAAAAAGACATTGTTTATTTGTAAAGGGGGCCTTAAGGAAATACGACTTATGACATCAGTGGATCAATGTTATACTGTATGTGTTAGTCAAAAGATTACCTACATACAATATTCCTCAGCACATATGAATGATCTGTTGCCTTGGACCAGTCTATTTACTTTTCAGCAGCCAACATTATTTGCATTCCTGGTGTACATTAAATGTGGGTGGACATTCACTCAAATACACAACTGTGTAAGACTCATTGTGGAGATGTTCACCAATGCGTACCAGCATTAGCTACAATTACTCTTTGTACAAAGCGTCACTGAATGTCCAAGACAGCAAACTTATTGCACACAGTGTACATTTTCTACTTGACTGTAACGTATATCAACAAGTCACTGTAATGAAACATTTAATATACACATAAAGTCAATAGCATGAGTAACTGTTTCACTGTATTTTGTATGACAATAAAATATTGACTGATTGTCTTTTGTGTTCATTTTTTTCGATCCAACCTTTTGCATTGCCAAGAAGTTTAATTTAGACGTTTAAAGTGGCAGCACAGAAAAGACACTAGCAAATCTGACTTTATACTCATTGTTAGATACACATGCATAATCCAATATACTGTATGAGCTAAATCTATAAGATTTTTCTTTTCTTAAGGAGCCACGTGTTTTTCATGGGAAAGTTATTGGTGGTTTTTATGGGGTTTTTTTTTTCCTCAATTTTGGCAGTTTAAAAAAAAAAAAAAAAAGGTCATCGATTATATACGAATTTCTGCTATTCACACGCCAGCCCAAACCCTATCCCCGACAAATAGCGGGGACCACTGCTTTTCTTTGAAAGGGTGGGAGTAAATTGCGACTTGAACGTATTGATATTTTAGTGCTGTTTTAGAAGGTTGACTTGTAGCACAGTGGCGCAGTCTTTTGGTATCGAGGCTTTGGTCATAACCACAATTACATTTTAAAACTGAGCTTTATAGGACAATTAATTGTTAAAACATGACTATGATTCATGACAATGTTATTTATGGAGAAGCACCATAAAGAAGACACACTTAACTGTCGACTAAAGGCCTTTTAATAAAGTTATTAAGACAATGTATACATGGAATACAGGCTGAGATGAGAATGCAATGTAATTGAAAATGATCTTTTTGTTTCCTACAAGATATAGAAATTTAAAAGATACCACTTCATGACTACTTAAAGCTGTAAAGAGACATTATCTTTGTGTGTTTCAGAGGACAGCATGAGGTGGTCTTGAATGGCAGTTTTTGGGAGGTTATTTTTGTCTTCTCCAGTTTCTCTTCACTGCATAAGTGACAGAAGTTGCTGTCGGCGCTCTGCACTCATGAAAAAATGTAGTTTCCGTGGCAACAGTCTTATCTCCACAGGCATGGCCTCGAACTCTTCGTTGTCAATGTTGAAGAAGCCGCCGGTGCCCTACAGGGTGACAACAACAGAGGTAAACTGTGAGACATGCCCTGCTTGACTTCACATGTTGTCACATTATCTTAATCATAGTTGTCGTAGTTGAAGGTTTGTTGAAATGACCTCTGGCAGCTGCAGCCGGCAAGCACTGGCTTCCAGTTTTGTGGAGGTTTCACTGAAAACTGTTGGGTCGTTATGTTTTTGTTTTCTGTCAGGAAGACGGAGGAAGAACGTTTATTTCGTCGTCTTTTCACTTTTTCTGTGTTGAATGTAGACAAAGACACCAACCCAACGGTGATGAATTCGCTAACAGTAAAGTTGTCAGACTCGGCAGAAATCATCATAGAGTCATTTATGCGCTGCAAGTTAGGAGAAAGAAAAAGGTGAGAAAGTGTTATCAGTGCACTCCGTGTCTGATTTTAACATGTTATACTGACGCGCTCAACAGGGTTCTTGTTGTGTGTTTGAATATACAGCTCGAGTGAAGAGAGCTTCTGTTCCTCCCATTGCTCTGGTTCTTCTTTTGGCGGCTCTGCAGAAACATTAATCGAGAGTGAATGCTCTCTTGAAACACAGTCGTCAGCACATCCGCATGAAACAATACCTTCTGGGGGTGGATTCCAGTAGTTTCTCAGCCTGCGGGCAATGCGATAGAGCAGGTTGGGTCTGGAAGTCTTATGAGGAGGCATGTCGGGGGGCCGAAGGGTGGGAGCCAAGTAAGTCATTGTGACATCACGTAGTAAGGGCCACTCCTGTGTCATTTTAAAATAGTGACACACCATAAGCATTGCGTTACAGACACTTTTTAAGTTTTGTCCAGAGTGACAAACCTACGCGAAAGGTGCGAAACCAATGAGCAGCATTTGTCTTCAGTGGTCCAAGGTACCAATATCTGCAAAACATTGGTAAGTTTATTTAATGCTATTCACCCAAATATCACATCTTGAATGGAAAGGAGATGGAAAGGGTGCAAAATCATAACATTACATTTGCATACACACATTGCATTTATCTTTTTATTTCAACTTCAACAAAATAAAATGAAAATTAAAGATAAAACATTCACTGATGAACCAAGCCCCACCGCCACCACCAAACAAACAAACAAAAATGTTATTGTTTAATTGAATAAAGACAATCAATATGCAATCTTCAACTGTTTAAGTAAATACACTATTAGATTTGGGTTGTTATAGGAAGGGAAATTAATTTTATGTGATGTTCAGACCTCTTCTTAGACCGCTTCTTTTAAATGCCAATGAATTTCCCTATTATCAAATAATCTGTTCGAATTGCTGTGATATGATGATTGTCATAGTCCAACCACTTTAACCTTATAAAAGACGGATTTGTAGTATCTGGATCAACTTCCACTAAAATATCCAGAGATGAACAATGTTACATCAAGAAAATACACCTTAGGTGAAGTCTTACTTGCTAACAGTTGCAGAAACATCTCGAAAAGCACCCCAACGCAGTCCCATCAGAGCATAGACGGGCTTCTCTGTCTCTGCCTGAAAAACACAGACCTGAATGTTTAAATTCATCTTAAAACGCAGACTAAAAATCATCTCTCATCAAAACAAATGAGTTACTAATGTATTTAACTGAGGCTCTCACGTTGATTTGAAGTACATCCAGAGGCACGGTTTCCCCCTTCAGTATGGACAGAGTTGCTGACGTAATTTCCCTGCATATTTATAGACAATTAAAAAAGGACGAAATGTATTTTTTTTAAAGGGGACATGATACGCAACATTTACTTGTTAAGTGCTTGGATACAAATACTTGGGTCGCTAGATAGGCTGGCCACTCATCAAATGTGAAATTAAACAAATGTGTAAATTTGGAAGTACTGCCTCCATTAAGTGAAATGCTTTTATTGTCTTTACAGGTATTGTCTTATTTCTGCCACGCAAGTTGATTAGTGTGACACGGGATGAAATTGTTATGAATCAGACCTTCTCACATCCATTGTGAAAAGTTTAACACTCACTTGACCTTGTTGTCACTGAGGATGTAAAGAGTGGCACTCAAAGTATTTCGAGAGCCAAGTGGAATGAATCCAATTGGTGTGCGACTGAACGAATCCTGTTGACATAAACCGTTTATAGGTGAAGTACAAACACAAATGCAGTTGATAAAATGTCAAAAGTATTTCCCATCATCACTATTAAGGTGAACCTACTTGATCTGACCTCCGCAGTAAACCTGTGACGACTTCCTGCAAAGTGCCATCCCCTCCGGCCACAATCAACATGTCTGTGTGTTCCATGAGGTCAATCATTTTTTTGGCTTGACCTTCATAATCCGTCTGGAGGGATATAACACACACGCACACACACACACACACACACACACACATATATATATGTGGCATAATGTCATACTCGTGGTCTCGACATCTAGCCTGGCTTCCAAAAAACAATTCCAATATAACAAATGTAATATAAAAAATGTAATACCTTCACTACTGTAATCTCAATGCCAGCTAGGTGTAAAATAGGAGCAGCATTCTTTTCAAACAAACTGTTGGCTTTCCTGCAAGATTGAAAACAAAGTTATGCAAATCAAACATACATTATGTAAGAATTCAAGGGTTTATAGATGTCTGTTCCTCACCCATTACAAGCTGCAGGGTTCAGGATCACGGTAGCCTTCTTTAAACGTTCATTTGGCGCTATTAATTGTCGCCCGAATTCCTAATAAGAAATTACAAAAACGTTTTTGGTTATTTATAATGCCTATAAAAAAAGCTGTCAATGATTTTAGTATTTTCAGAGGTTGAAGTGGGCATAAGAAAAGATGTGCGTGTGAACTTCGACGACGATTTATAGCAGTTTTCTGACATCAAGCTTCTTTTTTTACACATACGTTCAGCATTTTACACTGCTCCGAAATGGGAATTTTATTGGACTTACCCTAGCTTCGAGGCAAGCTTCTCTTCGCAGAACATTATCACTAAAATGATAAAATTAGTCAAACCAAAGATATAAATACAGTTTTGTATTGTCTTTTTGACACTAACCAGTATCTCCCATAAAGCCAGTGGCTTCCGTAAGATAGGACACACACAGCAAATGTAGACTTCTTCCAATGATTACGCAAAGTCCGAAAAACTCTCACAACCCGCGCCATTGTTCAGTAGAATCTACGCGACACTTTGCACAAAAAATAAAAAAATGCTGTGACATGTTACATTCCTAGAATACAGTATGTCCACTTGCAGCGGTCACAGCTTCAAGTTCCTGCAACTATCAGAAACGTGCTGCTGTTACATCAAAATAGTACGGGTCGTACACAGAGACGAAACAAACTTAGTTCCACTTGTTGTATTATTAATTTCTCAATTTAAGAAGATTTAAACTGGGATTATTTTGTTTTTTATGATAGTTTAAAAATATAATTACATTATATTTGAAAATTATGACGTGGACGTTAAAATAATAATCCGTAAAGTCGAAATTTACGGCTACCAACTGTAAACTACAATTCCCATAAAAGAGAATCCCAATACCTTGCCTGATAGAGTTGTAATTAAGTATGGCCATGTGTTGAATATACATGGATATATAATTGAAATCGCAGTCTCAGAAAACATTTCAAATCCGTTTTTAAAAGAGAATACTTAATGAATATGTGAATGAAAGCTTGATTGGTTTGAATTCTATTCAGGCACAAACGGACGGCCCGCTGTCCTCCCTTTGGATTGTGTCATGGCGGTGCAGATGGCGGTAAATTCGGGTATGAACCACAAATCCTGAATGTTTAATTTTTATTTGCTTATTGGGCGTTAATTAATGAATAGGACTTATCGAACAAGCACATTTATATAGGTTTTTAAGACATGCATTCCTTATTCTGCAAAAGTTACGACCGCGTGGTGAGCCCTGCCCTTAAGATTGGGCTGCTAGGCTAAAGCAGCTTGTAATCGGAGAAAACTTGACATGTTGAGAACAAACGTGGAACGAAAAGTCCATTTTATAATAAACGACCACACGTTTGGATTTTGGCCACCCTAACACGACGCCATGTCAGCTCATCTGCTCTGTTTAACATGTGCTTAAAACGATTTAATCAGATGTCACTGGTGTGTTTACGTATTTTGTTGAGGACTTGTCGGATGAGCGTCACGAGACTATAGAAATAGTCAGAAAAAAACGTAATGTTAAATTAGTAGTTTAGGGACAGTGAATGCCTAAATATTTGACAGCTATATTTAAATAAAAGAATCCCACCATCCCGTCTAGCAGGCAACACATTGACAACACATGTGTTTTTTGCTGTTCTCTAGCAGTTCTCTAGAGCTGAATGGAAATATTCACGTTTGTTCCACGAAAACGTCCTACAACGTCCACTTTTGGTGTAAATGTGAATTCACAAGTTTAGGAAAAAGTCAAACTAAATTCATCAAGAAAGGTTATTGTGCATTTTAGGTTCACTCTGAAATTTCACCCCAAATCCAAATGTCCCTAACCTTTTCCGAGTTGTGTATGTTGTGTACCTGACCTTTGAGATCTCCTGTTCTCATGTAGGAGCCAGTCTGTGGGGGCCACTAAAGGAGCTATGGGAGACAGTGGAGGGAGCTGTGTTAAGAAGACAGCCAGAGAGCTTCCATCTGCTCGACCTGCAGTTGAAAAAACACAAGCCACACTTTCTGTCCCTCTTTAAGAACCCGGTGAGCTATGTACATAGCCCCCTTAGCGGAGCTGGACATTTAATCAAAATGTAACTGTGTGATCAATTTTGTCTTCTTATCGTTCTGTAAAACGTTATAATCGAAGAAAATCTCTTCATGTGCAGAATGACATGGTACATTTGCAAGTTGGCAACATTGTGAAAGGATCCTAAATGTACATTGTTGCTCGCTTAGCAAGTGTGGGAAGCATATGTGATTCTGCTGTCCCACAGCATGCTTTAAACCTCTTTGACACCCATCTGAAGGTTACTGTAAAACTAAGAATACAAAAAAAAGAAATACTGTACTGACGTACATTTAAAAACAAGACATGCTTTGTTTTTTCACACCTCGCTAATGGTAAAGTCAATGTAAAATCCCATTGACATGGTAATGTGAAATTACCGTTGGCTTTGGAAATAAAATTCCTTCAAATTATTGGTAGTGGTAAATATAGTGCACTTATAAGTGATTTGTTTACACTATATTGTACCCTTCTCACGCACACGTTTATAAACTAACAGGAGGTTCTCCAATAACTTTTTTTGTTGTTGTTGTACCAACACATATGTCTACATGATATGTCAAGAAATACAATCGCCGAGGTCCCAGGTTAGCCAAGTAAGACAAGACTTGTGATAATCAAGGTAGAACAATAATATAGGATAAAATAAATATGATCAAGAGATACCTCAACTTTATTTAAATAGCGCTCTCACAACAACTGCAGTTGTCACAAAAAACGGAGAACACTTTGAACATGTGCAAAGATGCAAGGCTTCAAAGGTGTGGATTTAGCAGAATGACAATGCAAGAGGCATGAATTTCACGTGATATTTACCCAGTCATTTTGTACTCAACAAAATGAATAGAGTCCAACGGGAAAAAAAATTCAATATGAATGGGCATGAGGCTTTGAGGATAAGTCGTTAAATTCTGAAGTCAATGAATAAAAGTTAGATTAATCATGATTCCTGTCTCAATCAAAATAACCGGGATTATTACTCCCTAGTCTCATGTATTGCATGTGTCTTTGCTACAATGTCCCACATCATGTGCCTGCAACATCCTCCTCTTCCTCATTTTTAGGCAAAGAGTGCAGAGCAGAGAGAGAAGGTGCGGAAAGCCAGCACAGAAGGCATCGCCATCCAGGGTCAGCAGGGATCCCGACTCCTTCCAGAGCAGCTTCTGTCAGAGGCCTTCATCCTCAGTGATTTGTTTGACATTGGAGAACTGGCAGCTGTGGAGCTTTTGTTGGCAGGTCCGTATTAAAAAACAAACAAAAAAAAAAAACCAACACAAAAAAAAACACACCCAGATATACAGCGTCTTTGAATATGCTTTATACAAAAATCCACCAGAGAGATGTTTAACATCATGGTACCTTTACCTTGTTTGTCATAGATGGATGTTTGACTGTCTTTATTTTTCCCCCAGGTGAGCAGCAACAGTCCCACTTTCCAGGTTTGACACGTGGCTTGGTGGCAGTGCTCCTCTATTGGGATGGAAAGCTTTGTGTGGCCAACTCTCTGCGCACACTTATTCAGTCACGCCATGGAAAGACATTCACGCTGGACCTCAGGTAACAGCTACCAGTTGTTCTCCAGGTGGATTCAGCCCTCGAGCACATGCAATATATTACAGGGACTGATCATTCACAGTCTCTGCAGTACTTTTGAAAAGTTTTTTGACTTCTTTACCCCCACCTCACTTAGTGGAGAGCTGGTGTCTTTGACGACACATTTCACAGATGAACTGATGAGCCAGGGATTGACCAGGCGCATCCTGACCTTGGTAAATGAGATCAATCTGACCCGTGAGTTTGAGCGGCTTCAGAAGGAGCGAGGCCTGGGCAATGAAAAGCACAGGAAGGAGGTAGGGGGAAATATTTTAATATTATTTTTTTAACCTGTAAACTATGATATTGTCTTTATCAGCCATGTTTGATCTGTCTTCCCCTTTCCCCAGGTTTCAGACCTCATTAAAGAATGCAGGCAGGCCCTTGCGGACAGCCTGTTTGCATGGACCTGCCAATCACCATTGACTAAAGATGACACTTTGGCTCTCATTGCTCACTTGGAGACAATATCGGCTCAAGCGGATGGCTCACTGGATAGTGTGAACCTGGCTCTGGTCATGGCGTTGATGTACTGTTTGGATGTCAGCTTCATTGAGCAAGGCACTGAAGATAGAGAAGGTGAGAATTATTGATAATATTTAGAAGGGTTTGGACATTTCTATAACATCTTTATTCAACAGTTATTTTTCAAATATTAAGGTAACTATTAAGTCAAAGTAGAAAGGCACTGCAAGGCTTAGTGATAAATCTCTTCAAATTCCAATGCCAACAGGTCATTCAAGAGAAACGTACTGTAGCTCTACCCTACTCATTCAGTGATTCATAACCCAAGAGTTTTTATGTTCCTATGCTGAAAATATGTCTTTATGTGAAACTGGTCCATGGCGCAATAAATGTTGGGGACCATTGTCCTCAGTCACAGAGTCCATCCTGTAGGCCAGGGGTGGGAAATAGAAGTTCAGCTGCTCTTAAGACTTAAATAATTGTACCCTCTCTGGGTTGTTGAAACTACTGCAATCCTTTATGCCCTCAGTGTGATTTGAACACAATTCAACCTCACTAAGAAATTCCACATGATTGACATAATTCCTATTGACTGTAACTATATTCATCAGTGTGTGTTTTTGATATAACCTTAGATCTGCTTCAGGCACTGCCGCTGCTCACAGAGAGAGATTATGTGTCGGCAGTGCACAGTCGTTTGATGGACAGCGAGCCATGGAAGCTTCCCGGCCTGCAGGCTGTGTGTCGCCTGACTTGGGCTCTTTCTCTGAGGGTACTGTCGCAACTGCCACAAGGTTCAGGTTAGGTTCACATTTTTTGGAATGTTTAAATTACCAGGACCTTTGATGTACGTACGTGCTGTTCAAATGGAATACATTTCACATTTGTTCTGGCCAGCCCTCGTGGAGTTCACCGAGGCAGATGAGGCGCTGGCAGACCAGGCTGTCTTTGGAGATGTTTTCCTCTTTATCAAAGAGGGTATGCTCGATTGTGGGAGTTTCTTCCAGGAGGAGTTTTACATCCGCCGCCTCCATTCACTTATCACAGATTTTCTGGCACTAATGCCAATGAAGGTGAGCTATCACATTTTTTGTTGTTGTGCCGAATGATTTAAGACCATTGCTTTCTAAATATTGTTGAATTGTTTGGCTTTTACTGCTTTTCTAGGTAAAGCAGCTACGCAACCGTGCTGATGAGGATGCCCGCTTGGTGCATATGTCCTTACAAATGGATAACGAGCCTCCATCATCATTGCGCAAGGACTTGGACCACCTCATGATGCTTGTCAGTCTCCGATACATGCACACAAACACACACACACACACACACACACACACACACACACACACACACACACACACACACACACACACACACAGTTACAGATAGATTTATTTAAACTCACACTTTTATCATATTCATTACAAAAGCCAAATGAATAAAGTCTTCCTTGACAAAGGCAGTACAGTAATGCCTTGACTTGATTGACACCATAGACTCAAATTTGTCATTCAGTAGAAACATTGCAGA